GGACCTAATTGCATAACTTGCTTGTAAGCCTGATATCATTAACCCACTTTCAGTTTCTACCCGTAGTTCGGGAAAGCAAAGGCTCGTTTCGAATCTTTGACATGTCAACCAGTTAATATACGAGCAGAAGTTCAAATGTAAAGATCTGGGTGTCGTTACGCAGTTGTTTTGATCGTAATTACTACTTGTTTAAATTTGACCTTCAGTCTGGTTATCACCGCATTGAAATTTTCCCAGACCACAGAAAATTTCTCGCTTTTGCTTGGGATTTTGGGAACGGGGTTTCAAGATATTTTCAGTTCTGAAAATTTTCAGAGCTCATAGAGCCTCTGTGCTTCCTTTCGGGTTTTCTTCAGCCCCGTATGTTTTCACATCGATTTTTAAGCCATTACAGAAATCGTGGAGGAGCCAAGGCATCCCGATAGCTATTTTCCTCGACGATGGTTTAGGAGGGGAAACAGATTTTGTTTCTGCTAAAGTTAACAGTTTAGTCGTCCATTCAGATTTGTTCAAGTCTGGATTTGTTCCTAATGAGGAAAAGTCCCTTTGGGAGCCTCTCCTAGTTATCACCTGGTTGGGTGTGATTCTCGACACTATTGATGGGACTATACAAGCAACCGACTAACGTATTGAAAAGTTAAACGCTGGCCTTGTTGAGCTACTGTCTTGTCAACCTCCCTGGAAAGTGCACGTGAAGGGAGTCGCCATTGTAACGGGTCAAATAATTTCCCTCTCTCCCTGTGTGGGTTCCTTCGCCCGTATTATGACTAGATTTCTTTTCTTGGTCGTGAATTCGACGCGCTCTTAGGAAAGCGAAGTTTTTCTCTCAGACGACTCTCTTTCAGAAATCAGTTTCTGGAAGAACAACTTGGTATTCTTCAATAGCAAGGTTTGTTCGTCGGTCCAGTCCCTTCCGGTCAGGGTCACCTTTTCAGATGCCCCCAATTCGGCTTGTGGTGCTTTCGTAAAAGAATCAAATTTAGTATTTCATCAGAACTGGTCTCCTGTAGTGCGTGCCTAAAGTTCTACATGGAGAGAACTCAAAGCTGTTTGCCTCGCCTTGGAAGCTTTCGCGAGTCATCTTTCTGGTGTTAAGGTTATTTGGTATTCCGATAACCAGAACGTCGAATCTATTCTTCAAAACAGTAGTAGGGTAGCTGACATGCACCAATTGGCCCTCCTAGTTATCCAAATATGTCTTGAGTTTCACATATCACTTGAGGTTAAGTGGATCCCTTGAGAGCTTAACGCTAAGGCTGATGCAATAAGCAATTTAACCGATTATGATGACTATACCATTAACGAATCTATCTTTCAAAGAATTAACCTATTTTGGGGGTCCCACACCGTTGACAGATTTGCTTGTTCCTATAACGCTAAGGTATCAAGATTTAACACTGAGATTTTTTCAGACTGGCTGTGTAGTAGTAGATGCCTTCTCCCAAGATTGGGGGCACGCTAATGATTGGATTTGTCCTCCAGTGTGCCTATTAATTAGAGTGGTAAAGCACATGGAATTGTGTAAGGCGAGAGGAGCGGTTTTCCCCCCCTTGTGGAAGTCCTCTTGCTTATGGACTTTATTTTGTAGAGACGGTGTACAACGGAACAGTTTCGTAATTGACTGGGTGTTTTTACCCAAGTTCCCAGGTCTCTTTATCAGAGGGAAAGCCCGAAACTCGCTTTTCGGTTCCAGACCCCTGGACTTTGATGCTATAGCCCTTCGAATTGATTTCGCCGCCGCAGATCTCCCTGTGCTTGCGTAGGCTTCTGTACGAAGTTCAGTATAGACTGTGATCGTTGTAATTAGCCCGGCGGGCTTTTTGTATTCACCGCGGAAGTTTTCTCTTCTGTGTGCAAATGTGATTTTGTTTCAGTCAATCCCAGCGTAATTGCTCTAAGTCCTTTGTACTTAGCTTATGGGTTGTTTGGCACTTACTCAGGCTTGAAGTGACTTAAATCATAGAATTGCTCGTCAATATTGCGTATTGCGTTATGACACGAGTTTGTGTCAAGAATTTATTCAGCATTGTTTGAAATTAAAGGGAACCATTTGTAGGCGTAGGCTATTGTACGAAGTTCAGTAAAGACTGTGATCGTTGTAATTAGCCCGGCGGGCTTTTGTTTTCACCGCGGAAGTTTTCTCTTCCGGGTGCAAATGTGATTTTGTTTCAGTCAATCCCAGCGTAATTGCTCTAAGTCCTTTGTACTTAGCTTATGGGTTGTTTGGCACTTACTCAGGCTTGAAGTGACTTAAATCATAGAATTGCTCGTCAATATTGCGTATTGCGTTATGACACGAGTTTGTGTCACGAATTTATTCAGCATTGTTTGAAATTAAAGGGACCCATTTGTGGTCCACTTTGCAGATTCCAGTTGTCTATGTATTCTCTGTTGGAGTTTGATTATTCCCGGTTATTCTATTTTTATTTGTCTATTTCTTTAGTTATTTCTTGTTGGATTGTACTCCTCACTTTGCCTTATTTTATCTCTCGTTTAGATATTTTTCATTCGGGATTTAGGGCATTCCGGGACGGACCGCTTGACAACTTGCTTGATGGACTGAAAGATCGACTGAAGACGACTGTGCTCTCTTCCAAAGCAAATGGGACTGTATGGTTTAACGATGTGTCTAGAATAAGAAGTTATATTTCCCTTAAAAAAGGCTTCATGATTATTAAGGTTTTGAAAAGCAAGAATGTCCAGCTCCGTAAAGGCGACGAAGTCGTTATCTTATAATTGTCTAGTTCTGTATGCCCCGTTGAGTTGCTTAAGAGGTGTTTAGTTATGTTTAAGATACACCCTGATTCCAAAGATTTTATTTCAAGCCTATTTCTAAAGGGAAGGGCTCTTGCAAGCTTGTTGCCCCTGATAAGCCCATTAGTTACTCTACAATTAGAGGGGCTTTTCGCTGGGATCTGCAAAGTCTCGGAGTTGAACCGTCCAAGTTGGGTTTGCATTCTGTAAGATCTGGGGGAGCCATTACGATAGCAAGTAATGGAGTAAACGACAGATTTTTCCAACGACATGGTTTTTGGAAATCGGTACAAGCCAAAGACACATACGTAGACGATAATTTTGAACAATGACTCGAAGTATCGCGTTTTCTTGGGCTCTGAAGGCGTTTTCGTGTTTTTGGTGGTATTATATCACCTAGCCTCGTGCGTCTTGCCCAATTCTTTGTCAGTCTATATATGCCTCGGGTTGGTTCTCGGCAGGCTTCCCTAAATAAACTTATTTGGTGTATACTACTGTGTTATTTGTTGTGTAGTGGAGACAAAATATGGTATTTCTGACGAATGAGTCTGCGAATAAGGCAGAAATAAATATTTTGTCGGCACGAGAAACGACAAGGCCTGGGCCTTAGGCCCGAGCATCATGGGTAATGATGCAGTGGTATATAAGGAAAGTATAGCACGTGATGTCCATCTAGGCCTCAGAACCAACCGTTCACCTCTGGCTGATGACAAATTTATTTTAGTTTGAAAACATATTTTCCTTAGCTGTGAAGCCTCGTAGGATGGGCTGCCTACTGCTCTGAGTTTGGGCCATGGTTCCTACCAAGATTTCCTGTCATGTTTTTCCCCAAAGGGGTTTTTTCTGGCAGGTTTTTTCTGGCCTCTGTATAACCGTAGTTATGTCCTTGTAAGCGGTTGCCCATCTCTGTTAATCCAGACTTGGTGAAGTTTGCATGTTAATAATGTATACCTTTTTTTTAATGTGTAAGGAATTGACTGTATATCAGGATTGCATATGGTATATCAGTTGCGAATATATGTATATATGCATTCCCCGGGCTATATATGCCTCGGGTTGGTTCTCGGCAGGCTTCCCTAAGAAACTTATTTAGTGTACACTACTGTTATTTGTTGTGTAGTGGAGACAAAATGAAATGTTTATATTTACAACATATTTGCATATAGGGCAAAAACCTTGAATATAAACGAAGAACAGTGGGACTGTATTAACTTATTTGCCTCTTCCCTATCACTGTCGTCATAAAATTTATTCATACTTCATTCAAAACAAATAAAACATTAGATTTTGCATCACCAGATTACATCTGATATAACAAATGACTTCAATTAACCGTGCAGTGGTGTTATTACAACCCTCTCCACGCAATTACATTTCGTACACAAACTAATAAGTGAAACAGTTTTTAGAAAAGTTCACCGGTCTGATCTTCGTTTCAGTTGTTGTGTGAGCACTTTTTCCAGCGTCGCTGGAATCTAAACGTGACCAATGGATCCTGAGATTTGAATCCTGAGCTGAGGTACAATCGACTTTGTACCACCAACCTCCACAACATATATTTTAGGAGCGGGATCGTTATCTCAGGTAACAAACTGGGAGCCATTATGATACCAGAGACAGTCACGATTGATTGTCTTGTCTAAACAAAAGAAATTTTGGGAAATAAGCATTGATATCAATATATAGCCAGCCGTTAGACACTTTATTATTAAGGAGCAGGAAAATGAAGTAGGAAATCAAATGTTATGATCTCAGCTACATAAATTTTGAAAAACAAACAATGCAAAACAAAAATAGTCCCGGTGTGGTATTGACAAACTACCGGCGATTCTTCTTCAGTTTTAGAGGCATTCACATGACTCAGAAGAGACATGCTATACAGTCGTTTGGCCAACGTGATGAGTAAATAACAGGATTGGTAGAGAAAAAAATGGGTCAGTTTGTTGCTTAAGAGCGAGAACGTTGGCTAGCCGTAATTGCGATGGTATTGAGGCTGGTGATAACTATAATTTAATCAGCTTGTACTTAGCTTCCTCTTTTCCAATTTGTAACCATGCATACTCATGCAGTTTTTTTATTTTTTTAGTTACTCCCAGATCTGCGCGAAACTTGCTCTATGACTTATTTCTTGTCAAGCGGTGGATCTTTTCCAATCCAAGCCAATATTCACCAATGAGGAAATTACCAATACCATGTTTGTAGTTATCTCGGGTGCGGTTGAAATCAATGAAGCGATTCAGCCTCTTCTATATCACTGTCCATCCTCCACTAGCTGTTGTCTGGTCGCAATATACATCAAAGGGAGCTTTGTCATCGGGATAGATTGTATAAATACCGCTGATTCTTTGACTGCCTTTGAAAACCTCGGCACAGTTCTTGGCTTTTAAAAAATTATAATAATTAAATTTTGGTTGGTTGGATGAAACACATCAAGGAAACAGCATGAAGCAAAGAAAGACAAAATCGTAGAAGTCAAGTAAAAGAAACGAGCAGCGTGAGAATGATCATCACTTTTTAACTGGCCAATTTAATTAAGTGCTTGCCACTTTGTTGATAGCTATCTTCTACGAGTCAGATTTACAACTCAAGAGTTATAAGAATATATCAGAGAACTTAGCATATCAAACTCTTTCCCCAGTGCGACGAACATTTATTTTTCTCGGTTCCAGGTGTACGCAACCACTAACCCCACGTAATGCGCATGCTCTTCGTTACGAATTTTCAAAATGGCGGACAGGTCAAAGAGGGAAATTAAAAAAACAAAGCGATTTTGCAATGAATTCTCAACATACACCCTCGTTAGAAAGGCGAATCCACGGAAGAAAGATACAAAACTGTACGATATTGTGATCGATATGATATTAAATCGATACCGAGGGCCCGTTTAATTGCCTTCCGCCACGGTTATTAGCTTTCTTGACAGCTTTCTGAAGACAGAATACTTTCTTTCTGAAGACTTCTGATATGCAGCTATTGATTATTACACCTCGTATACCTGATTGCTCAAACACTTTGTTTACGATTGTTGAAAGGACCGACTCATGGTTCTCCGTCTTCGTCTTGACATTGCTTTGAAACACTGTAGACTAGTAAGCTGAAACGAAAAATTAATCAGGAAAGTTTACGAAAAATCCGGCAAACAAGCTTTAAAAAGTCATTTATTTAGACTTCATACTTCAACGAACTTCACAAATCTTACTTGTTTATCTTGTAAGTAAACGATAGCAGATTAATTCCCGAAGCGCTTTCTGAGTTTCCCGATCCCTCTCCTACTGCTTTCACGCTTACAAAACAGGAAAAATCAAAAGGAGGAAGATACAGCTGTTTTGAAACGCTATTTGACGAAGGTAAATCTGCTTCTTGTTCGACACTTTACATATCAAAACAAAGGAAATTTGTTCTTCTTTTTGATTCTGGCGGTACATTTTTAATTTGCGCCTGCGTAAAAGAGATATCGCCCGAGACCCTTCGCTCGGTCGTGTTTTGATCAAAAACGCCTTGTTAATTTCACGCAACCGCTCGGAGAAAAGGTAAAAATGACGAGGGAAAAACTTTACCTTCAAGTTAGAAAATTAGCGAAATAGAAAGCCACAATATCATAGTTTAATATTTCAGAGATACATTGAGTGCTTTTTCCGTAGAGAATCCGCACGATGGTGAAACATTCGAAAATTTCACTCGATTTAAGTGGGGTGTTGAAGTGGGCGTGGTCACTACATTCATGTCAAGACTATTTGTACCCCATGAATTTGATATGTGATACTTAAATTTCTCGGATCCTTTGTTGTTGTTTTTGTAACTTGTTGAAGGTGCAGGAGTTGAAGATAACATTTGAACCGTTAAAAAAAGTGTCACACTGAGCAGCAAATTGGAACTTTGTGAAGCAGACATTATATGATGAAATTTTTTCTCCTACCTTAAAGCTGTATATTTTATGATGAAGCACAGTTGTAGACTGGATCAATTTCAACTACTTCACCTTTTATTCATTCTAAGGGTGTAAAACTGTGGGCCTAATAACAATATCCTCGAAGGCAACTATTTCCCAGAGATGCTCTTAAAAAAGGATTTTTGAAACATTGCTTCTGTATGTCATTTCTCGAATTAACACAGGAACTTGGACGCTGAAGTTATCATATGCAATTAAATCGGAGTAAACTAGGCGTAATACTTAAGACTCAAGAAAGGGGTGTTATGTTCCCTGGGGATTCCCGCAGGGTCAGTGATGAGGCTGCACAATTTCAAAGAGCAACGGAAACCTCAAACTCCTTTAAAAGAATGAAATTCGTCATCAAAAGCACGCTACACTTATATTAACCGCATAAAGAATTAAAAAGACAAAGTTCTAGAGAGCTGCCATATTTGGATCGTTTTCTTTGTTTCATTTTTGCAGAGCAACGTTGTTTCCCTATAAATGACGAACCTTCGCTAATTATGATGGTAACGGAATTCCAATATTGCCCATAGGTTACTGACTGATGTTGTGTGTAGCCAAGCATGAAAGTGTAATGTCATAAGAATAGATATTCTTGAGTGGTAACATTAGGATAATTTGTAAAGTTCTTGACTTTATTATGCATGGAATAATCATAAATGAATTGCTAATCGATTTCAGTTTTAAACAAGCTACGTAATGACAACACGAAGTTTTCAACGGTTTAAGAGCGCTTCTCTGTAAAAATCAAACATATCGCGGCAAGGGTGGAAAATTCGATTTCTTTCTTATTTTAATGTTAGATAGGCTAGGCTATAACTAAAATCACTGGATACCTTTTTTGGCAAAATATCTTTTTATTTCAGAGAAAAATACGAATAACGAAATTCCGTTAAAATCGTCATTTTTAGCAGCAGATTATTGCATGAGTTTGAGGGCTTCGCGTGCAAAAACGAAACACTATCTCGTCTTTTGAACACTCAAATCTTCTTTTTCGCTCTCATAAGACCTCACAAAATGATTTTTGTAAACATTGCGCTCTTCTTTGCGCTTAAAATAATTTAATTTCGAAAGCATGCATTTCTCTTCAGTAAAAATACTCCGTGAATAAAATTAATTTTCACCATGTGCTAAACCTTCAAATGGATTAAGCTTTTGGTGGTTGAATTTCGAAAAGATGTTCTCAACATAACTGTAAAAATTTGTTTGGGCAAATGTTTGAGAACGATACAAAAACTTTTCAAAGTCCGTTAAAATGAAGGTATTTGACCTTTTGCGGTCAACATTCCAGTCGCGAGTCACACATATTTTAATATGTTTCAACCCATATGAGGCCGAAAAATGTACATAGAAAGATATTTCCAAATGCTCTAACCTCATTTGTCACAGAAGACCAATCCAGAGACCATTTTAGTGTGATTCTCTTGTCGTTCGTCGTATTTAGGTCTGTATAAATGATAACGTCCGATGAAACCACCAACCCTGTCGAACACCATCTTGCATTGTTATCAAATGTTCGATACCTTTCTTCACTGTGGCGTCTTATTCAACGGTTCAGTTGACTGCGAGTATTGCTCAGTTTACAATGCACTAAAAGATTACATCTGACAGTATAATTCAATGCTAAACTGAGTTTACTACAAACTTGTACGCCCTTTGAGTATTGGCTTGTCACGCAATACCGGTGACAAAGGAACTTTAGGGGGTAAGTGAAGGGTAAAATTCCAGAATTGAACTCTTGGAACCTACAAAATATTTTATTTTGTAAACATTTTTATAATAGTATCATCGTTGTCTGATGACAAACAGTAAAATACATTTATTTATTGCAGGGAATTATTCTTGTCTTTTTGGCGCTCTGTGCCTGTCGTACTTATTAGGGGTGTTTTTCTTTCCAATAAAATTGCAAGAAATACCCGAATAGCATGAAAGAGAACCTTTTGTAAATTTTTACAACACCATGCTACAAAACGCAGTGGTGGGAATGTGTGGCTTATGTGAGACTGGGGTGCTATGTTCGTGGCCAATGGGTAGGGCTTGCATAAGGAAGTGGTACTATTAACCACTGTTAACAGACCCAACTAACGTTTAAAACCTTAAACTACAGAGGGGCCGACATATGTGCGCTCGGCACAAAAAAAGGTCGATCTCATCTTCAGGACCAGTAAATTTGAAAGCCGACTCGTGACTTGCGATATTCTTGGTGCATGAAAGTAAAGGAACAATTTCCGTTTCACGCATTCGATCTCTAGTGTTGTAACCACAAACTCCACCAATAAGCGACTTGAACGAACAACAACCTTCCATTTTTTATCTAACAAAGTTGACCGTGTAAGTTAGTGTATTTGTGAAAAACAGTCCGAAACCCCGCCTCTAAGCGAACAATAGGCTTCGTGTAATTACCATAAACCAGGTTTTGTTTACTTAGGCTTACTATTTTAGTAGGTGCCAAATTTAGCTTTTCAACGAGTATTAGCCAAAGGCCCGATCTCCCCTTCCTCTACCCCCTAAAAAATAACTTTCCATTGTATGATTTGCATTGCGTAACGACTCTCCGTATACAAAACTACGTTGACTGCAACATATGTGAAGTGCTACTAAGCATCAAATAACTGCATTTTACGTAAGTACTAAAACAAGGAACGACATAAAACCACCTAAAACCACCTAAAACCACCTAAAACCACCTACAACCACCTACAACCATCTACAACCACCTCAAAAATTTCAACAACCACCTACAACCACCTCAAAAACATCTACAACCACTCGCAAACTATCTAAAACCATCTAAAACAAGGCATAAATGTCTAAAATAAGGCGAAACGACAACATGTCACGTACACTAAATACGAGAATCGAACGAAACCTCTACCTCCCCCTGAAATCTTACTCTCCCTGGTCCCATGTATAATCAACCATCTCACGAAATGAAATGCGATAGCATGCTAATTATTTTATATTCCCTCAGCAAAAGACTTAAAGAACTTTACAAAATGAACTAACAAGTTACAAAAAATAATAAATAGGGAATAATACATGGGCGCGCGTAGATATGGAATTAATCTTCGAGTGTTTAACTCGATAGCTCACGAGTGAGCGCAGTGAACACTAGAAGAGAAATTCCATATCTACAAGCAGCCATGTATTATTTTGTTTATCATATAAACACAATAGCCCTTTTCTGGGAAGAAAATCCGACCTCATCAATGAATGACAATAAATGAATCGACAATCCTCGAATAACAATCGTAAAGTGCGTTGGCGGTGACTCTTAAGATGGAAAATGCTTTGAATCATGATTACAAAAACTTCCATATATACGCGCGCCTATGTATAATTAACGCAGTGTATACAGAAAATGTTTTGTGAGGTCTTCGTTTTAGAATGCGAAGCCCTCAAACTTGTGCAATAATTTGCTTCTAAAATTGACGATTTTAACGGAATTTTGTTATTTGTATTTTCTCTGAAATAAAAAGATATTTTGCCAAAAAAAGTATCCAGCGATTTTAGTTATAGTCTAGCCTATCTAATATTAAAATTATTTATTATTATTATTTCACCCTTGCCGCGAAATTTAGAATTTGTCTGATTTTTACAGACAAGCGCTCTTAAATTTCAAAGAAAGACTTTTAAAAGTTTTGAATTAAGCAGTGTAACTAACTAGTTTCACGCATCTTACCTTTCTAAATTCTTGCATTGCTTATTTCAAGAATTACATCAACCTTCAGCCGGGAACCACAACGGACACACAAGATGCGAGAAACTTCTAATGATTCTACGTGTAAAATATTTACATTTCGAAATATTTATCGTTGTAAATCGACCTCATCCTCGAAACGTGATCTAGTGGCGCATGTGGTTTTACAAAAGAAAATATTATATTTAGAACGGTTGCTACGGGGGCTGTTAGATTTACGTTAACTCGTAAGAATGCGTCACGAAGATAATAATGGTACACGATGAAATTGATAAGTATTATTTCTTACGACCTTTTTGATAAGACGGTCAACATACAATAATTGTATAACCTATACTTACTGTTTTATACGGTCAGCGTGTGATTGTGATGGAACAATTAATTCCATTTAAGGAGTGAGGCGGTTTCGCCTTAAATTTTTGGCTTGCTAATCAGTTTTTTTATAGAAGCTTATTTCACTGAACTAAGATTTTACAGTGATTTTGATGTTTGAAAAAGCAAAGGAAGAGACATGTTCAAATAAAAAATTAAAAAAAAATAGCAGGCTTCACACTTACTACGACTATGACGTGGTTTTCTTGAACATTTTCTGACTTGAAGCCCTTAATTGTTAAAATTCTTAACTTGCTTTATCACAGGCATCTCAAGCTCACGATTCGAGAAAAAGCAAACGATTAATTCATGAAAGCGTCACGCGTTGTGTGACTCGATGTTGACTTACTAGAGAAACCGTTGAGAATCGAATTTTAACACGTTATAGGGAATAGTATGCGGAACTTCTGTCTTGGTCGAGGAATAACAGTGCTTGAAAAGTGCTTAAAACAAGCTTAAACGACAGAGAAAGCCGGAAACCACAACGGACATATAAGATGCGAGAAACTTCTAATGATTCTACTTGTAAAATATTTACATTTCGAAATATTTATCGTTGTAAATCGACCATGTTTCGTTCCCTCATACTCGAAACGTGATCTAGTGACGCATGTGGTTTTATAAAAGAAACATTTTATTTAGAACGGTTGCTACGGGGGCTGTTAGATTTACGTTAACTCGTAAGAATGCGTCACGAAGATATTAGTGGTACACAATGAAATTGATAAAAAATTACTTCTCATGACCTTTTTGATAAGAAGGTCAACATACAACAATTCTATAAACTGTATTACTGTTTTATACAGTCACCGTGTGACTGTGATGGAGCAATTAATTCCATTTAAGGAGTGAGGCGGTTTTGTCTTAAATTTTTGGCTTGCTAATCAGTTTTTTTATAGGAGCTTATTTCACTGAACTAAGATTTTACAGTGATTTTGATGTTTGAAAAAGCAAAGGAGGAGACATGTTCAGATAAAAAAATTTTTAAAAAATTAGCAGGCTTCACACTTACTACGACTCAAAATACTGAGTTGGCAATATTCTTATGTTAACTAATTAAAATTTGCATTAGTGGTATGTTTCAAATATTCTCCACATTTAGTAATAGGGGGAGACTCCCGCGGAATACAGCTGTAGAGTCGAGTACTTTCTTCTTACGATTACAGTTCCCAATAGCTTGGGTATAAATACAAGGCTTAACAGTTGTAAATTCTTCAGTCTACAACTGTGTGCATGAAATCTCGTGCTTTAAGGTCGGAGAAGAAAAATCTTTGCATCATGCCTGTTTCACAAAGTTCTACTTTGTTGCTCAGCATGACAATTTTATTCACGATTCAGTCGCTACCTCCAACTCAGGCGATGTGTTTCAGCAAAAGCAGAATAGGATTTGAGAAATGTAAGTAGGAATCCATCCTCTGTTCACGTGTAATAACCACCGTATTGTTTCTTTTTCTTGGTTTTGTATCATTTGTTTTTTTCCCTATTTTAAACTCTTTACTTGATACTCTTAATCGAAGACCAAACTATTATCTTGTCATCTTTAAAAGCTAGGAACTGTGCTGAGGTCAAAGAATCAGCGGTGTGTCTACAATTGACCCAGATCATATTACTATTATGATTATTATAATTTTTTTCTTTTCTGGACACCTCACGACTGGTTGAGAGTAGCGAATACGTTACGCACTCTATGAGAGTGGGTTAAAATAGTTCAAATCTTGGAAACTGTTTTTAATGCATTATCGGGCTTAGGGTATCATTGGTGATTGATACGCCAGCAGTGTAGAGTCCATGTCTTTCGGCTTTGGAATCCGAAGGTCCTGGTTCAAATATCCATTGGAAAAATCAAATTCACAACCCGTTTACCTGGCCTCTCGCTCGTGACAGGACAAAAAAACATTTCGTCGAAGCCTTTTTTTTCTTCGATCTTGAAGACTTGTCGAATTTTGTGTAAAGTCTGACCGAGGAATAGTGATTTCACCTAAGAAAATAACCAAAAAATGAGCGTAATTTGTGTCTTGAGCGAAATCGATCAACTGCAAAGTTTTAAGTGGCTTTCAAATCGAGAACTTTTTTCTCCCAATAGATAAGAACTGCGCTGAGCTTTACAAATGCGGCCAAACCATCAGTGGTGTTTATACAATCGACCCTGATAGTTTAGGTGCCTTTGATGTGTATTGTGATCAAACGACAGCTGGTGGAGGATGGACGGTGATCCAGAAGAGAGTGAATGGCATTGTTGATTTCAACCGCACCTGGAAAGATTTTAAAAAGGGATTCGGTGATTTTCTCGTTCGTGGATTTTGGCTCGGACTGGACAAGATCCAACGCCTGACGCAAAACAAGACAGAAAATAAACTCCGCGTGGATCTGGGAGTAAATGCGAGCAAAACTGTTCACGCTGAGTACAAATGGTTTGGTATTGAGAGTGAGAAAGTTCATTACAAGCTACGCATCGGCCATTTTTCACGTAAGCTAGTCTATTCTTCCCTAACGCATGATCATTGTCATAGGTGATCATTATTATCATCACCCTTAAATATGGTGAGTCTCACAGCTCTTTACTTACATGTCTCGATCTCAAAGGATTGTATGCCATGGAAATATCGTTGTTATTCATACATTTTTATATTGTTATGCATATCCCACTCGTGAGTCCAACCTTAAACGATCCATTTACCTGCAAGTTCCCTGTGACTTGGTAACAGTGACACAGCACTTGGTAACAGTAGCTCATAATTTTATACACATGTAGAAGCCAAAAATAGACCAAGGAAGGACTCTTAACAATTACGGATGATTGACAACTGTGAAGCTAAAATATAATTAAATTTTATTCCTTCCTTTTTCTTGTGCAGATGATTATAGTACTGCTTACGATTCCCTCTCCATTCATAATGGCACGTCATTTAGAACATGGGATAAGAATACAACTGGTTGCGCATGTGAACAGAACGATTGTGGAGGCTGGTGGTACCTGAACTTCGGTAAAACTTGTGGTACTTACTCAAATCTTAACAGCATCTATAACAAAATTCACTGGGCAAACTTAACCCCTTATGCTAAAAGCAATCCCACAACATCTGAAATGAAAATCAGACCAGTGGACTTTCGAATTCCCTAAAGCCTCCTCCCTAAGGGGACCGATTATTTTGTTTCGGGTAGATTTTTTCGGTGTGTGTCATGAAGCAATTGTTTGTATGAAATAGTTTACCAGATCCTCTTACAAGGCTCTGTAATGTTCTCGGGGGGGTTGATAAAGTTATCTATGATTTATCAGGAAACTTGATTGATTTGATAAGTATTTTGATGGAAACAAACGCAAACATTTTTGGTAGAAAGTTTGAACCGGTGAACTACATCCGACCATGCAATTTTGGATCTAAACTTCCTACGGGCATCTAATTAGATTAAATCGACTTCATTCCAAATGAGATATATCTTAAGGTAAATTTGTAAACGTTTTGCGACAACGTTGAGATAAATGTTGTGCAGTAAATAAATGAAATAATGAAAGCCTTTTTTATGTGCGTGAATGATGTTTGTGAAAAAAAAAATAGGAATACCACTTTAGTCTCAAACTTGTTGATCATTTTGATTAGCCGCGAGTTTTACAGAAAGCAGAAAATAAACCTGAACCTGAAGTGTACAGACTGATGGGTTCAATGTGTGGTGCAATTGAAAATGAAAGCGAAGTTGTTATGTTTCCTGGGACGATGGTCTGTACTAAACACAGACGTGATGGCGTAATATGCAGAAGTAGAGCTGTCGTGATCGATGGCACGCTTTCGAATCCTTAGTAGAAGCTGGAGTGCTCTCGGCTACGCCTCGAGCAACTCTTACGCATCTTTCGTGCTCTCCAAACTTCCTGCGTGCTTCATATCTCGATGAACGCACGTTGACATATGAACCAAATGTTAATAGCAGAAAACGTTCATCAGTAGCCCTACTGAATGCTTCTATATGCCACACACGTTAAAGTCAATCTCACCTAAAACCCGTGAACACCCACAGCCATCTATATATGTTTCGTCAAAAATGACCCTGGATGAGTCAAAGGCACGGATACAGTCTGAGTGTGAGCCACTGGCTTTCTGTCTCATAATGAAAGGATGCACTCGTGTTCATGATCAGTCTTTCAAAGAGACAACATTTTCCTTACACTGAGTACAGGTCCTTACACGCTGATGAAGATCATTGCGTCATGAAATTTCATCATTTCATAAATCATTACCTGAGGATAAGAAATTCTTCAACGTATTTAAACACGCCTTCATAATTCAAGAATTATATTAACGTCTGTTAAAAATTTATTACAGGTATGATCGAAAGGAAAAAATCCACTTTGTACATTCGACATGTGGAGGTTTGCATTATTGCATCATACATCTCTTGTTGTCGTGAAAAGTTCATAATAATTTGGCGTACCTCGTCATGAGTACGATTTTATTTACCACGCTTCAAAAAGAAAATAATTGTGGTTGAGGTTTTTGGTAATTTGGTATTATCAACTTTGACAACTTAAATTGGCGTCCGTGAAGAGTTTCAAAGCTGACCTTTCGAGCGTTAGCCCTTCGTCAGCACCCTACTTACAGGGTGTTAGCCATTTAGATTGTGTAAGTAGTGTGCCGTCAGAGCAACCCAGGTACTCAGGTATTTGGCTTGCTTATTGTTAAATTTGAGTGTTTACTCATGACTCACGGTTTATTCTCCACAAATAGAAATAATGACGTTCTGATCTTGCACGTGAGTAAATTAACTAACACCTTAGTGTTTCAACATCATTTGCTCACGTTATCCGTCTTCATGGCCAAATTAAATGATTAATAATTGATCAAAGCCTTTCCAAAGGTCAAAATAAAGATTCGAGAAAGAAAATACCGGTAATACTGGAGGAGTATTTTGGTATTCATGTATTTGTCTCGCTTAATTTTTTTAGAGTGTTCAAGCGGAACTCATAGTGCATTCTGCCGCTTATTGTGGGCAGAGTAGAACTCCGACATTGCATCCACGTTTCTCAATACCATTTTCTCACATTATCCTGTTTCACGGCGAAAATAATTCATAAATTGACGATTAAATGATTTCACTTTTTAGCTTTAGGGAATATCTTGGTTATAGATAAAAGGTTAAAGAGTTGAAATTTCTTCATTCTACAACTGTGCTTCATCCCAAAATTGACAGGTTTAAGGTTGGAGAAAATATTTAATCACATAATGTCTGCTTCACAAAGTTCTAATTTGCTGCTCAGTGTGACACTTTTATTCAGTTTTCAAATGTTATCTTCAACTCATGCAGCTTCAACAACTTGCAATACTCCTTTAGGAGTATAGGGACATTCCTGGGAAGTACGGTTGTCCTCGAGTATATTCTTATTACGTCTACAGTTTAGCTTTAGGGAATATCTTGGGTATAAATACAAGGGTTGAGCAGTTGAAATTGATTTAGTCTTCGACTGTGCTTCATCACAAAATATACAGCTTTAAGGTTGGAGAAAAAATTTCCTCATATTATAGCCGTGATTACACACCTTAGGTTTGGGGCCTTACGGAGGGTAAATGGCTTGGATTTGGTTGAGCTCAGGTTTCTTTTAACCCTTGGGGATGCTGTTTCACAGTAAAAGACTTCCCTTAGGGTCAAATATGATAAGATATAAGTTCACTGACCTGACAAATTGGCAGGAGGAGTACAGAGCAACATGGATGTTACGAATCGAGATCTATTAAGCTAAATGTCAGTGATTCTCCTTCCTGTTATGCGACAGTCCTCCATAAATATAACAGTCCCACAGTTTTTTTTGCGAGAAGACACCGAATATGGCGCGAAATTAGCCAAGTGCATCGGAGGTCACCTTAAAACACTGCAGGCGACTTCCTGTATTAGCTACATTTTGCTTTATGATTGGTCAAGCCACCTCAGGGAGCGGATAAACCGAACTTTTCAGTTCAGGAACTGTCATGGGAAGTTCTTTTGTTCTTTTTGATGTATCCATGGAAATAACCCAAGGGCAGTTTCGGTTTGGGGAAAGCGGTTACACACAAAAACGTCCTTGCCCGTGGGCAAACGCTATTTACCCATGGGTAAAATGGCCAGTGAAACCACGACTAATGTCTGCTTCACAAAGTCCTGATTTGCTGCTCAGTCTGACACTTATTCACGTTTCAAATGCTATCTTCTACTCGTTCAGCTTCAATAAGTTGCAAAAACAACAATAAAGGATCTGAGAAATGCAAGTATCAATCTAAGTTCTCTGATATATTCTTATAACCCTTGAGTTTTAAATCTAACTTGAAGAAGACAGCTATTAACGGAGTGGCAAGCAGTTAATTAGAATCGCCGGTTAAAAAGTGCTGATAATTTACTCGCTGCTTGTTTCTTTTACTTGACTTTCTTTGTTTCATGGTCTTTCCCTAATATCCATAATCAAACCAACCCAACTTAAATAATTTTTTGTTAACAGCCAGGAATTGTGCTGAGCAAGAATCAGCGGTGTTTATACAATCTACCCTGATAACAAATCTCCTTTGATGTATATTGCGACCAGACAACAGCTGGTAGAGGATGAACAGTGATCCAGAAGAGACTATGTAACATTGTTGATTTCAACCACACCTGGGATGAGTATAAAAAACGGATTCGGTGATTTCCTTGTTCGTAAATTTTGGCCGAGAGAGATCCAACGCCTGACGCAAAACAAGACAGAAAGCAAACTCCGTTTGTGGATCTGGGAATAAATGCAACCAAAACTGTGCATAGGGAGAATGAATGGTTTGGTATTGAGAATGAGACAGCCTATTACATGTTGCGCATCGGCAGTACTCATGAAAGCTAATCTACTATTTCCTAATAAATTATAATTTTCATAGATGATCGTTTTTATCACCAAACTTAAGTGAGATTTACAGAAAGCAGAAAAAAACGTGAACCGGATGTGGATAGATGGATACGTTCAACGTGTGGTCCAAGTGAAAATAAAAGCAGAGGTTATTGAAGCTCGTCGGAAACGATTGTTTCGATCCTTAAAATGATTGTTTCGTAGGGCGCACGATCACTGATTGTAGAAACGAGGATAACGAAAAGTAATGATATGCTCTGTATGTCCCAGAGGTAGTTCTTAGAGCTAGGCGCTACAGTTTTAGCCGATTTTGTAACATTGTGTAGATTATATCTAATTTGGATCCATTAAGTCCATTGATTTTCAAGGTGTGGCTGTCAAGAGCTGTCCTGAATAGGGAATAAATCAAAGACAGTGATCTTCGAAATGGTTTTCTATCTAAATAATTATTCAATTTTGAAATTCATTGAAGTGAAATAAAATACCAGCTTATCCAATCTAACAATGAACTTCAGACACCAATAAATCCTCCAACCTGCACGTTTCTCAATTTCTCACCTGGTGACCATTTATACTTTAGAGTGACAAATGACTTTATATAATAAGCTTAGTTATGTACGCATTCTGATTGGTTCTCACTTATGATCTATTGTACACAGCATAAAAAGACAAATTTAAGTTGGTGTAAGGTTGGCGTAAAGCAGTCATAAAGTTCTGCTTTACACAGCTTTGCGCCACATTTACGTTACGTAAAGGCACGCTTTACACAGCCTTTACGCTTTGACGAAAAGCTAGAGTAATGAGACTTCTCTAAGAAGACTTTAAGCACAGCGTAAAGCTGGTGTAAGGTAGCGATTTACGCCAGCTTTATGTATATGAGTAAATAGGGTATAGGCGTCTTTGTGCCAAATTTACGCGTGACGTAAAGTCAAATTTATTCTTGTGTGAAGTAGCTGTATAAATCGCTCACAGATTGTGAAAATTCAAATCCCACCTGTGCAGAAAATAAAAAATCTGCTTTGTTTTATATCGCTTAAGGGAAACATAAAAGTTAAGTCGATCAACCGATTTCCCACTTTTAAAGCTAGGTTAAAAAGTTGTTTGTACGGAATAGGGACAGTCAATCAATTAGTCACTCTGCTGTATTCACAATCTTGTATATTTGTCAGAAATACATGCTCCCTTGTATGTGAGTACTTTAACATTCAATCATTAACGATAACATTTCAGATATTATTTGCAATATTTGTTGAAAAATCATTTTTCTGAAATAATGCCACCAAAATAAC